ATTGTGTGGAGGAGGAGTTTTTTTTTTAGCAGGAACAATGACGTCATCTGCTGGAGCATCGGAGTAACTGATGGACCTTCCTTGCTCTGTTACCAATAGTATGAGGTGATAACGAGGCTCTCAGGTTTAACCATGGATTATGACAGATTAGCACAGAAGAAGTCAGAGAATCAGGAAAACAATCAGAGAGATTGGATACCTCTTTCTTCTTTGATGGGCTTTGTACTTTATGCAGCACTTTGAATAGTAAGTTGTTGGGATTTTTTTTGACAAAATCATATGAATTTGTAAGGAGTGGTTGCATTTCAGCGGGCTGAAAATGCTTCGTTAAAGTGCAGTACAGTGGTACCTCAGGTTAATAACTTAATTTGTTCTGTAGGTCTGTTCTTAACCTGAAACTGTTCTTAACCTGTGGTACCACTTTAGCTAATGGGGCCTCCCGCTGTCGCCGCGTGATTTCTGTTCTCATCCTGAAGCAAAGTTCTTAACCCGAGGTACTATTTCTGGGTTAACGGAGTCTGTAACCTGAAGCATCTGTAAACCAAGGTACCACTGTATGTTTCCCAAGCTGAACCCACTGAGTTCAACAGAACTGGTCTGAGCCTGAAGTCCAGCAAGCAGCAGCCCACCGAGCTGGAGGCTACAGTGTCACAGGCTAAGCCAGTTCCCCGGTTCTGAGCCTGGTGCTGGTGACTAGGGGACCAGCAACCCCAATGCTGGACCGCTGTTAGATCCCACAGCACCAGGACTGGTGCAACCTGAGCCAGGGCCCTTGTGGGCATCTCATCCTAGTGCCAAGGAACTGCCTGCCTCCCATACTAAGCCATACTTCCCTGGTTTCCTGTTCACACCTTGTCTGCTTGGCATCCCTCTGTCTTGAGAGACAGTGGAGGAGTGTGCCCTTTGCGGGTGAAGTCAAACTGTTAGAAGGTTGTAGAGCCTGATGTGGCTGTAGAGACCGATATGGGAGAGACATGTTTCGTTGGAGCTGGAGCAGATGAAGGTTGTGCCTGCAGATGTACCATGGTGTTTCTTCTTTCTGTGCTCCTCCCGGTGGTCATTCCTCCTCTGGTCACTGCTATGGATACACAACCTGACTGCCTGTCTCCAGGCACTGCAGTCGTCTTCAAGGGATTCCCACATGGCAGCGTTGATGCTGTCAGCCTTCGCGTCACATTTGCAGTCATCTTTGTAACACAGAATTGGTCTACCAACAAGCTTGGTGCCTGAAGCCACTTCCCCATAGACCACGTCCTTGGGGATCCTGCTGCCTTCAATTCTGTGGACATGACCAAGCCAGAAGAGACGTCACTGAGACATGAGTGCAAACATGCTGGGAAGGAGAGCGTGGGAGAGCACGTCTTTCTTTGGGACTCTGCGTGCAAAGGTAACATTTACCGGTATATTTGTTGACCCACCCGCTTTTGCCACAGGCCCCCACCCCACATTGGCATGTGGTCCCCCCCAGAAGGAAATGTGGCTGCTGGACCTAAAAAAGTTCTACACCAATGGGCAGCAGCAGCAGTCGTCCTGCCACATGGATGATCAGGAATGTGAAGCCAAACCCCAACATGCCGACTGCTGCACAGCCCTTCGCCATCTCAGTATTCTACATACTGTCTGTTGAACCTAATAAATTGGGATTGTGGTAGGGGCTGCTACTCTTTCTGGGTATATAATACCTGTCTGTTTTGATGAAAGCTGACACGCTGAGGTCCAGCACTTCTGAATTTGCCACTAAATTACCCTTTCAAAAATCTTTCCATTCACCTTGGCGTACGCTGTGGTGTGATGCACATTTTAAAGGTTTCTGGAAGTTTATTTTGACTACTCATTACTTTGGGTGTGTTTGGATTTTTAGCTGTATTTCTGTTTATATAAACTCAACTTGTTGGACCAAAGTGTGATTTTGTTGCGACTTCACCCAACTTTTGGTGTTGACAAGTCCAAAAACGCGAATTACGTTATCCACTTAAAACTCACAATATTTTTTGGTTTCCACAAATTCCTGGGCCCTCGCCGTTAATGACTTATAATTGTTGATCTCGTTTAGGTACCTATTTGGGCCACCAGAGTGCCTGTATTAATGGGATTGATTCAATATTCTTATTAATGTCATCTGCAAATGTTTTATAAAACATTTTTTCTTGTTATATTTGCAAATTAAAAAACATAAGCAACTACTGCACATTTTCATTTTGTACTGCATTGTCTTTTATGGTCTGGAAATGTAATTGTGACAGGAGAAGTAGACATGTTATTTATTTAAAAATGTAGAGATAACCATCTGCCATGGGATACGACTTCACTGCGCATCCTGTGTCAAACAGTCTTGGCCCCCTGGGTTCTGAACTGTATCCAATGTCCTGTGCGCTACCCAGGCCTTTGAAATCTGGGGTTTGGGGTGATCATATTAAAGATACATGAAGGGGAGAGTGGCTAGTGGATGGAGCTCTCACTCAGGTAGCCCCAAGAAACAAGGCTTTGAAACAGGTGGGTTTTACCTAACAGGGTTCGTACACAAAGACGCTTTGTGCATTTCCGGAAATAGCAGTATCAGGGAAAGAGAGAAAAAGAAAACCACGGCTGTTGCTTGGCCATCTCTCTTTAAAAGCAGCACGGCAGATGCAATAATTACACCTGCCTGCCTACCCTCTCTCCAGCATTATGCAGCCAAGATCATTCACCTCTCGTGCAATTCCAGTCATGCAATGCCCCAACTTAAATCCCGACACTGGCTTCCTGTCGACTCCTGGATCCTGGACAAAAGCTGTACTTTCAAGCCTCTCTGCTAGGGCCTTGCACCCCATCTCTCTCACCCCATCTCTTTGCTCAGGGCCAGGGCAGCTGCTAGGGACATAGCAGGGCCCATTGCTGATAGATGCCTTAGCCCCCGCCCTAAATTCCACCCCCACCACTCCAAAACGTGACTAAGGCTGTGATCTCATACACATGTAGTTGGGAGTGTAACACACACACATTTATTTATTTATTAAATTTATATGCCGCTCTGTTTACAGCATAGAAATACAAAATGGAAACACAAAACACACAACGAAATAAAACAACAACCATCTAAGAAACAAAAAAAGGCAATAGCCCCCTCCTACAAACTGGTTTCCATTGTTTCTTTAATAGCCAAAGGCCTGGTTCTACAGGGAGGTTTTTGCCTGATGTCAACGAGCCTCCTTGGGGAGAGCATTCCACAAACGGGGAGCCACTGCAGAAAAGGCCTTAGAGGATGATCTCAGGGTCTTGGTAGGTTCCTGTGGGGATAGGTGGTCCTTGAGGTCCATATCACTTAGCTAAGAGCAGTACTTTTTTTCTGGAGGTACACAAGGGTACGCAGTACCGGCACCATTTTTTTCTAGAAGAAAAGTACTGGTTTAAAATGTGGCACTTACTGTAACAACTTCATAGTGAGTAGAAAGGTAAAGGTAAAGGTAAAGGGACCCCTGACCATTAGTTCCAGTCACGGACAACTCTGGGGTTGTGGTGCTCATCTCGCTTTACTGGCCAAGGGAGCCGGCGTTTGTCTGCAGACAGCTTCTGGGTCATGTGGCCAGCATGACTAAGCCGCTTCTGGCGAACCAGAGCAGCGCACGGAAACGCCGTTTACATTCCCGCCGGAATCTACTTGCACTTTGACGTGCTTTCGAACTGCTAGGTTGGCAGGAGCTGGGACACAGTAATGGGAGCTCACCCCGTCACAGGGATTTGAACCGCCGACCTTCTGATCAGCAAGCCCTAGGCTGTGTGGTCTAGAAGAAAAGCAGTGGATAAAGGGTACAAAATGCATGCAAAATAAATAGGAAATGAACAGGAACTCTCATGGGAATGAGGCCTTCTGGGGGACGCACAGCTGTGCTGTCCAGCAGAGGCGAATAGCTGGGGTGGCTGGTCCCAATCATCTTTTACCTGAAGCAGTTGCCTCACTCTGTCTAATGGTAGAGCCGGTTGGGTCAGGAGTTGCAAGTTGCTCAACTTGCAAGGCTTTTTGTAGGGGATGACGCCTGTGCGGCACGATCTAATGATGCAGAATTGCTGTTACACTCCCATGCCTGCTTACTTGGGAGTAAACCCCACTGTGCTCAATGAGACTTACATTCCCAAAGTGTGCATAGAGAAGGAGCTTTGACTCTGATCTGAGGCTGCACCCGTCCCTGGGAATAAGGCTACAACACAGTGGAACTGAGCCAGGGTCCTTGGCCTCAAGGCACTCCCAGCCTGACCGAAAGAGGGGAGATGGTGGGGATCCAACAGAGGCCTTTAGCAGACTCAGATACCCAGGCTCAGCGCTTTCCCTCCACCTCCAGCCTGCCTCCTTTATGGCCTGCCCTCCAGCTTCCCATAGACACAAGCCCCACACCAATGCTGCTCCCACCTGAAGGCTTTACTTTGTCCCACTATGCCCAGTGCAAGCTCACTTTTGAGCAAAACAGCGCAAGGGCTCAGAGCTGTCCTTTGCAAAGCTCCCACTCTTTTCTTTCAAGTTTGCACCCAAATTCTACTCAGAGTAGACCCGCTGAAGCGAATGGAGCTCAGCCAGACTTTCTCCTATCGATTCCAGAGGAGCAGGCCTGACCCGGCCTCCTCCTGCAGCGCCGATCAGCCGCGGCCGCCTGTTTCGTTCTCTGGAAGTCAAGCAGCCGGCGCTCGCTCTATTTGCCAACGAACGAACCGCGTCACGCGTTCACACGACGCAGAGCAAACCCGGAGCGGCAGCCCTTCTCTGCCTGCGATTTCCTCTCCGACTCCGTTTTGTTTTCATCTCTGTCATCCAGAAAGGCGGCCCCCCCCCGAAATAAATAAATAAAATAAATGTGAGACCGGTTTAGGGAAGGGGGGAGGGGAAACCTTCATCTCTCTCTCCCCCCCCATCCCTCCAGGCTGTCCTCCCCCAGGCAAGGAGATTGGCTAAGATAGTTTGTCAATCGCAGCTCTTTCCCCTCCCTCCCCCCCCCCCTTTCCATGCCATCCCACTCATCTCTGGCTTTTTAGGAGAGAGAGAAAAAGAGAGAGAGAGGAGTTTGAATCAGTCAGCAGCCAAGCTGTGAGCGCCTCTCCCCGGCATTGATTCCCACCCCCCTAAATCTAATTTAATTGCATTTTTAAAGGGGGTGAGGAATTGGGGGTGGAGTGGGGGCGCCTGTGCGTGGAAAATGGGAGAGGCATGGAGGAGCCAGCCGACCAGTTGCATCGGGCAAAGTCCCCGCGAGGCAGCCGGCGCCGAGCTGCGCTAAAGACCCGGCGCGCCTGGCAATTCGGATCGCCGCCGCCGCCGCCGCCGCCGCTGCAGCCAAGAAGGAGCTGCTCCGGAGTCGGAAGGAGAAGCTCTGCCCGGGCGGTGTTGTGTTTTTTTGGGGGGGTGGGGAGGGCGGAGGAAGAGGAGGAGGCGGCGGCGGCAGCAGAAGAAGAAACCCCAAATGTTTGGAGGCGATCCGGAGGGGGCACAGCTTGAATTTTAGGGGTGCAAGCGGAGGAGCGCACCTGACCGGGACCCCGATTCTTCGAAGCAAAAGATCGAAGTCTATTTTTATCTCTCTCTTTTTGCTGCTGCTTTCACGGTTTTATTTATTTCTTTAAAGGGAAAGCTTCATTTGGGATTTAATTTCACCTTCCACGTCTCCTCCCCCGCCCCCCACTTTTCTTCTTCGAGCGAGGAGTGAAGGGGGAAAGCGCTCTCTCGAATCGCTTTCTTGGGTTCGATTCGGAGCCGCTGAGCAAATCCCTCCTTATTCCCCCCCCCTTTAAAAAAAGCACAGGTAGTTTTTGGATTATATGGACTGCAAGCAGGTTGGAAGGCGGACTCCAGAAATGCCTGCCGGTTGAAAAAGAGCCCAAATCTGAAATACGGTTTAAATAAAATAAAATATTTATTGGTCCCCGCCCCGCAACCAGGAAGACCTGCCGGTGTGGCGGTGGGGTGTTTTTTGGAGGAGTTTTGCCTTCGCGCAGCTTTTTCTCTCAACTGCTTGCCTGCCTTTTCCAAGCCCTCACCATGACTTCTCCTGGGCATGGAGCGACGCTTTCCAAAGGCCTTTTTCTGCTGTTGGCGATCGGGGCCCTTCTCGGCGCAGGTAAGACGCAAAAAGTTTGACTCTTAACCTGAAAGTTCTTTTTTAATTCTTTTTTTCAGAAGTCTTTTTTTTCATTTGCAGGCAAAGCTGAACGCAAGAGAGAGGGGTGTGTTGGTGGGCGTGTGTGTGTGTCTGTGTGTCTGCCTGCCTTTTGGAGTCATTACTCATCTTCTCCCCACCTGCAAAATGCACTTTTGCAAATATGGAGTGTATTTTTTTGCCTTCCAGAGTAATTGTGTGTGGCTTTCAAAGTTTTATTTTATAATGCCTTGGAGCGAACTGGACGATGTGTATGTGTTTTTCTTTTTAAGGGTGAGATGCATGCCAAAAACTCCCCACAAACCAGCAAACTAAGTCCTTGGGTATATAATAGGCTGCCTTTGGTGAGAGGAGGGCATGCACTCTGCACATGCTAAAGATGCTCTTTTTCTCTCACGTAGGGTAGGTCTGAAAGTCGCGACTAGGTCAGAGCCTTGTGATACAGAAATAGACAGTGGGGCCCCAGCCAATTAAGTTCTGCTCAAAGTAGACCCAGTGAAATGAATGGACCCAAGTTAGTCATGTCCATTAATTTCTATGGATTTAGTATGACTAGCCTTGGATACATCCCGCTCTCTACAGAATGCGATGCCACTATAATAGAATGCTAGGATTGTAGAGTTGGAAGGGATCCTGGGGGTCATCTAGTCCAACCCCCTGCAATGCAGGAATCTCAGCTAGGTTGCAAGAGCCTTAGTTGTTGATGCTTATCTTGCTTACAACCCCTGTAAGTTGGGTCGATTTTATTATCCCCCTATCACACATGGTGGACTGAGGCCATGAGAAGCTCTCTTGCCTAAGGGCAGTGGGCAGAGCGGAAAGGTGAATGCAGAACCTCCATCGCTTCCATGCTCAGCTAGCTCCCCAGTTGTCATGTCTGTCTGTCTCTTCCTTCCCACCCACACGTGTGAAAATTGCTGCCTTAGCTTCATCTCATATCTCCGGCAATTAAGGGTGCCACTCCCACCTCCCCCGTACATGGCAAAGCAGAAATTCAACAGGTGAAGCTCTCCCCATCTCTGGCTACTGTTTTTGGAAATAAAGCTAGCCTAGGTGCACTGAGTTCTGCTTCAGACTAGAGTTTCGTCCTCCCTGACAGGCTGCTCTTAAAAGTGCAGGGGATAAGGCGTCATCTGCCAAAATAGCTCAGCTGGGAGAGGGTTAGACTGAAGATCTAAAGGTCCCTGGTTTGAGCCTGGGCTTCGAGAAATGCTCCAGTCTAGGGCTTGTGGCTTTGCATGATGAAGGTCCCAGGTTCAGTCAATGGAATCTCCAGACAGGGCTGTGAGAGATCCTGTCCAAAACCCTGGGAGGCTGCTGCCCGCCAGTGTAGGTGATGCTGAACTAGATGGACCAGGATTCTGACTTGGCATTAGGCGACTTCCTGTGTAAGGTGGCAACCTTGTTATAAATCGCCCCCTTTAAATCACACTGATTTGATTAAAGAAGAAGAAAAAACCACACCGAGAATAGAGTGAGGGCAAGGAAGGAATAGTCAGACTATTTTGATGCTCAGCATCTTTTCCAGTGACATTTTTTTTATAAGGCTCTGGTCTTGAACCTGTTTGCTCAGAAGCAAACCTCTCCTGGTTTCAGTGGAGTAACCCTTGCAAGTCTTGATTTGCGACGCCTGTTCCCATTTTGCAGCTGGGGACAGCTGACCCTGGGAGACAATATCCTGAACTATGCAAGCTGACTCTGGCCTTAAGGGTCTACATGCCTGATTGACAGCCTTATCCCAAACATGTTTACTCAGAAGTAAACTCCGTTGAGTTCAGTAGGACTCGTTTCCTAGTCTTATTGGCAGGTCTTGGAGACGTGTTACCTTTTCTTACCCATGAAGAATGTCTGAAGAGGCACACGTCCTTCCATCTTTATTTGTGCATGTGTGCATGTAGATATACCCAACTCTCCAATTCTGTGATTCTCTGATATTATGAACATGAATGTTCACAAAGTAACAGCAGCAACAATTTTATTATTTGTACCCCAACCATCTGGCTGGGTTGCCCCAGCCACTCGGGGTGACATAACCAAAGGCCGATGGCAGTCTCTTGGCTTTGCAATCCAAATTTAAAGGAAGGAAGTGAGAAGCAACCAGAGGTGAATATGAAATAATCATAGAATCGTAGGGTCCTCTAGTCCAGTGTTTCCCAACCTTGTGCCTCCAGATGTTTTTGGCCTACAACTCCCATCATCCCTGACTAGCAAGACCAGTGGCAAGGGATGATGGGAATTGTAGGCCAAAAACAGCTGGAGGCACAAGGTTGGGAAACACTGCGTCTAGTCCAACCCCTTGCTATGCTGGAATCTCAACTAAGGCATCTATGAGAGATCCATCCAACCTCTGCTTAAAAACCTCCAATGAAGGTCCACCACCTTCCAAGGTTGAACAGTTCTTACTGCCCAAAAGTTTTTTCTGATGACAGGAAGTTACCTTATATGGAGCCAGACCATTGGCCATCCAGTCCAGTCTTGTTCTGGACAATACTCTGGGGTTTCAGGCAGGGGCCATTCCCACCCCTATGTGGGACCTAGATGCTGTACCACTGAGCCGCAGCCCACAAGTGCAGCTGCAGGTTTATTCTTTCAATGCTTCTGTTCCGTTACAGCGGAAATCCTGTGCCCATTTCCTTGGCTGTGTGTCCTGTGGATCGGAGCAGAGCAGGTTTCCTAGTAAATGCACATCCAAGCTGTAAAAGGACTCAGGGATGGGGTGAGCGTTGCGGTTAAGCCAAAGGCTCAGATTAGTAACCCACAATCCTAAGTGCTCAGCGAGGTCTCTGAACTGTGCTGCAGAATGGCTAGAATGCGCTGCTGTCTGGGAACTTCTCTGGGGTGGGGGTAAAGAATTATGAAGACTTCCCAGCAAGGAAAATATACTGTCTCCTTTCTCTTTACCCCAAGGCAGCATGTCGGGCCACCTCTGCTGCTGCTTCTCTGAACTGGGCCCTCTCTAGGCTTGCAAATTTCCAACAGGAATGGCAGGGCACGAGGGCAGAAGTGTGCATTCCCTGTTCACGACCCTTTCTCTGCAAACCCTCCACCCACAAAGTGATTGTTCAGGTTTGCTTGTGTATACATGTCTCCAAGTCTCTCAGTTGTAATGCACAGCTTCACCACTGCGTTCAGTAGGTTGTGGGTGATGATTCCCAGAGGACTGGAGTTTACAATGACATCTTTCAACGCAATGACTGTTATTTGAGTTTGGCATCTGAGAGTTTTTGTGTTTTGCTGAGTTTCTTTGCAGAGCAGGGAGGCTATTTTTGGGTTTTGTTTTGGTCTTTTCAAACAAGAATGGAGGAGGAATCTGATTTAGTTTGTGGCTATAAGAAGAAAAATCAATTTGCACTTTCTGAAACAATAAAAACTCACCCTTCTTTTTCAGCGCACTTCTCCAGCTAAGTAATGTGTACAAAATCCATAAAAGTGTGCCTATAAATGTGTATATTATTGAAAATAATGGAAATGTGGATTTATTAGGGGTAATTTCTTTGCAAAATTGTGTATACAAATCTGCATACAAAAATGCATATATTAGGATGAATTTGCACTAATCAATCAAGTTTTTAATGAGGACTTGAAAGAAAAAGATTCCAAACTGACGTAGAAAATGTGAAGAACTGAACTGAAGATTAGAAAATAAAGAAATTCAGGGAATCTGATATTGACATATCCAATCATCACTGCTTTTTTAAAAAAATCATTATTACTTTTCATTTACTTTGTATAGTCAAACAGTTACCAACAGTTTTTACACCCTGATTTTATTAGCGAAGGCTATTTCTAAAAGAGAGGATTGGAGCTGCATGGACTTTGATATTGAAATTGAGCTGGCTTTGTCTACGCAAGGGGCGCTTGAAGACTATAGCTATTTTCTGGTGGTATTCAGTGAAAGTGTGGCAAAATCAGGCTCCAGAATCATAGTTGGTTTGGAACCTGCTCCCCAACAGCTTTTTTTGCAATAAACGAAGTGGTGAAGGAACAGTGTGGGATAACTTTAGCTTGATGCAACATCAAGCTAACCTCCCTGCTAACAAATCAAAATGAATGTTCAATAAATAGGCGACATTGCCTAACCTCCCTGCAAACGTGCAAACAAATGCTCAATAAGCTGGTTGTCTGCAAGGGATCTGGGATTATTGGTTTGATTTAATTGGGGATTAGTGTGTCCTTGTCTCCCTGCTTTGCCACAACATTACATGATGCAGCAGGCAGATAGCTCAACAGCAGAGCATGTGCTTTGCATGCAGAAGGTCACAGGTTCAATCCCTGTCATGTAATATCTTTTTTTGTTTTTAAATAAAGGCTTGAATATCAGGTGATTGGGAAGGCCATCTGCCTGGCACCATGGAGAGCTTCTGCCAGTCAGAGTAGTTAGTATAAGGCACTTTTATCTTCTGGAGAAGTGTTCTCACAACAGAAGCACACCTTTTTCGTTAACAAAAAATAGGGCAATGGGCACCTCTGAGAGCAATGACTTATTGCCTCTTACAGCCAAATGCTGAGAGAGTGTAAAAGCATTGCACATCCCCATTTTTTTTTTAGAATTTAGGAAACCCCCAGCCCACACTGAGCCACTATCAGAAGCCTGGAAAACTCTCAGCTTGATAGACCATTGATCTTGCCCACTGGGGAGGCGAAACCTTGTTTTGCTCTTCTGTAGCTTCAGGGTAGCACCTGCTTGTATCTTTTCATCCTGGGGTCCAAGAGAGATGAATGGCTTTTAGTGTTGCTTGTGTGCAGCCTTTGATCATTGTGGTTTTGGTCCTTGGGAGGGTATGTGTGTGCATGCCTGTGACTTTGATGCCGTGTGAGTATTTTGTGTGTGCATGCATTGAGGGCAAAGATGATATTGAGCCTGTGGCAATGGAAGGAGGACTTCCATTGCATTTATTGTAAAGGTTCACAAAATCTCTGGGAACCACAAGGCACTCTGTGTCTGAAACATCTTCCAGATA